CTGGGTTGGAAATGCAGGCTTTTAGCCATATACAAATAGAAAAGTCATAAACAAGGATGCAATCTTGTATAAAGATGGGAAGAGAAAGAAGATAATTTACAATAATTGTGTGATGCTGGGATAGTGCTAAAATACCACTGAAGTTCATCCAAATTTAAATTTCCAGAAAGAAGAGTTCCCTCACTTGGGATTATTCTCAATCTTGGATTGTACCTTTCTTAAATCTACCTGGCCTATGAAAAATGCAGCTAATTTTGGAAAAAGAGATGGAATATTTTCTTTTATTTTTAAAAATTTTTCCACTGGCATTTAACATTTTGGCTTTAAATTTGAACTTTTTACAAAAATTGTTTTTGTTTGTATAACATTGCCTTGAAAATGAGATCCATTTTGCTAATTCAATTTCTAAGTATATTTTAAGATTTAAGATGTATCTGAAAAGTATGTGTAACATAACTGTCCCATAACTTTTATGTGGACCTCAGATTGTGAGAATCAACTATTGTAATGAACAGCAGCTAAAAAAAAATTGGGTAGATTGGGATAATCTAAAAATAAATAATGAGAAAAGTATAATCTGCTTGCTTATTTTTTAAAATCAATTTAAATAGAAGCTTCTGGGGTCAGGTCTATTTTCCCCTTGCAAAATGATGAACTTTTAAAATAACACTTCTTATGGTTTAGTTATATTATTACTACATTCATGTTCATAGTTGTTGGGCATTGATCACCTGTATATATATAACAATAAACTTAAGGGTTCCAGGTCTTGAAGATGTCTATCTGCTCTAGGTTACAAACTGCCATCTAATACAGAAATTGTTCCTAAACTGAAGCAAGTATCTTAAAATGCCAACTATATCCTGTTAAGACGTTGATGATAGCTTTCTTTATCATCTATCACTTGTGAAGTCTCTACTATGCCCAGGAATTGTACTATGCATATACCATTCTCGCAAAAATTTTATCACATTTGTTTTAACACATACTACAGAAGTAAAGTATGAAGGTGAAACTAAAGTTGCTTAAGGTTTCCATTTAGTAAGAGCCATACCAAAATAGAAGCCATTTCCAAATTCCAATATATTTCCTTTATGCTTTTTATGTACTTTAAATGAAAATTATTTAAAATAAACTTTGTCCCTCTCAGCAGATGAAATAAAAGATACAGTTATTAGTTATTCACACAGTTATCAACCAGAAATCTGAGACAGTCTAGATACCTGCTTTTTTCTGTACTGTCAAATCCATTTTAATTTTTTTTCTTTTTTCTTTTTGAGTGAGAGAGAAAGAGACAGAGCACATTCTACACCCAGTATGGAGCCCCACACAGGGATCAGTCTCACAACTGTCAGATCATAACCTGATCCTAAATCAAGAGTCAGAGACTTAACTGACCCAGGTGCCCCTCAAATCCACTTTACGAACAAAGTCATGATATTTTACCTTCTAGAACATGAATGGCTTCCTTCCTTCCTTTTTGACATGCTATTTTGGGACTAGAAGAGTTATTATGTCTTCTTTATTTTATTTCTATTTTAATTGCACTTATATTAAAATAATCTTTATAGAAAGTACCACTTCTTTTGTAAAGTCAATTTATCTCTGTTGCTTTGAGTATAAAGTTAAAACACATCACTTATGTGATAGTCAAATTCCACCATTTCTAGTACTCACACATCACTGGTCTTGACCCCCAAACCTGCACGATCCAGTTTCACAAACTACTTCGTTCAAAATATAGTTTTTCATGACTTGAAGATCTTGTTCATGCTGTTTCAACTACCCCAAGCATGATTTCTCCATATTTTATATTTGTACATATCTACTTACATTTCAACTCAGGTTCTATCATCCGTGAAACTTTCCTTGCCTCATCCTTGACTTCAGGTGGAAGTAATCACTCTTATTTGCCTTATAAGTATTCTAACATTTTTAATAAAATATTTATATTTTAGTATCTGTACCCACATAATTTATTATACATTTCTTGAAAAAAAAGTTTCTTTTTCTGACTGCCTTACATAATCTTTGGCTATGGAAACAATTAATTACATGTTCTTGAATGAATGAAAGAAGATATCTTAATTCCAGGTTAATCTCTTTTTCATTGTTCTTTCTAAGGGAAGATTTATCAGTATTATTTCCATGTCTTTGGAAAATGTATACATACAATAATTGAAAAATTATTTTTATATTCTCAGAGGGAATGTCAAGATACATGTATCTTGAATCCTTCTTCAAGAATTTTATAATATAGTTGAAATTTGGATCTGTCTATAGCAAAATATAACAAAACAAAGCTGATATACCTAGTGGATAAATAAAATTATTATCATTAGTAAAAATAATCAATGTAGATCATATGGTACAAACAGATGAAAGTGAAAGTAGATTTGTTACTATGTAAACTGTCTTGAAAAAACAGATTAGTCAGTTGGAGACGTAAAGGGATAATATTAATCTAGGGATAAAGAAAAAAAAATCAGAACCAAGCAAGAAAAAGGAAAAAGAAAAAAAAAAAAAAAAAGAAAAAGAAAAGAAAGGGGAAACGATCTAGTAAGACTGCATAGGTGTCCAGTGAAATGGAAGATAAGTTTAAAAAGTTTTTTTTTTTTTAATGTTTATTTATATATTTTGAGGGGGAAGGTGCAGAGGTGGGAGGGAAATCCCAAGCAGGTTCTATACTTTTAGCACAAATCCTGACGTGGGGTTCAATCTGAAGAAGGCTTAGATTCTGTAACCAAGAATCAGATGCTTAATTGACTGAACCACCCCTGCAACCAAATTTAAATAGTACTTAGGGCTAATTTTGGAAAAGCTTGCATGTACACTGGAAAGTTAGACTTAATTTGAACATGTTTAGAAGCCATCAACAGTATTTCATCAAAACAGTCAAAAGTTTGTGCTTTTGTTTTGAAATTATACTATTTCATAACACTGAGTGGAGAAAATGGAGAGAAGAGAAACAGGAAATTGAGTGATCTATTAGTTAAATATTGCAGTAGATGAGGCAAGGATTATTAGGACTTAAGTGACAAAGTGAAAAATAGTAATAAACAAGCAGAATAATTATAGAAAATTATTGAAATTGAGTTGATATTTTGAATATACATTGAAGATATAAAGTGAGAAAAGTAAAGATGCAGTGATTTTTCAGCCTGTCCAACAATTAGTTATTGATCGTCTATATGCAAGACAGATTGTCAGCTCAGAGATAGATAATGTACACATCAATGCCATACAAATAAAAGAGTGATGAGTTGAAATGAATGATAAACTGAAGTTTTAATATTTTGAATTGTAGTTTCAAATGGGTGCTGATGTCAAGTAAAAAATTTAAAAAAATGAGGTCACAGATAATCAATTTGCATCCAGTACTTTTATCAGCACAACTACCCATTTCCTTAAATTTAATAAAAATTATAAACACATTGTATTTGAAGTTTTGCCAAAGAAAGTAACAGTTAGATTTTATATTATATGTCCTTGATAGTAGATTTTAAGGTAAAATATATAAAAATGTGAATGAAAATAATTATGAGTAACATGAAATCTTTTGTCTAAGAATTCCAAGGTAACTAGTTTAGTAAATATTGGCCTAGAAGAAATGATAAGAAGTTGAAATACCATGGCATAAAAGTTTAAGAACTTTCCACATTGCTTCTTCACAAAGAGTTGAAAATTTTAAGCCTCTATATTCTGTTTCTGTGATAAATCCTATAACCACTATCGTTTGCCAAGAGTTATCTCTGGGCCATCTATTTCTGATAACCAAGTGATCTCCTTCCTCCACACATCTTACTTTACTGTTTTCGTCACCCATTTTGTGACCAAACTAAGTGTCTCTAACATGTAGCATTTCTGCTAAATATTAGAATGTCAAATTTACCCTTTTCCAAATAGTGATAAAGTTTTCTAAGTGTTTGCCTGTTTTCTGGTGGTTTTACTCCATGATCTCCCATAACGGAGTGTTGATAAGGAAATGAGGTACCAGAAGACATATTCTGTGTTTGGGTCGCTTGACTCTGCACTTGAAATACACACATGAAATAACACATAAGGAGCTGAAATTCCATGTGGGTCTTCATATTTTGACATATTAATTGACATTTTGAGGGATTATTCATAAAAGTAATACTGTAGCTCACTATCCATTTGCTCAAATATTATTTCAATGAGAAAGTAACGCAGGGTAGAACTAAAACACAGCACTTTAATTTTGAGTTTTAAAATATAAAGCTTCGTTCTCTTATAGACATAATCGTGTGTAAACTCAAAGCTTTTTTGATTTGCAAGAGCTAAGCTCTAAGTATGGAGGGGATGTCATGATATTAAAAACTTCATCTTGATCCTGCAATATGAAGGGCAAATTTATGATGGGCTACACACGAGTAGGGGCATTTTGACTTAATTTATAATAATAATTCTTATGCTTTATATGGAGAAAAGAAGAGCTAAAAATGGCAAATTTTAATTAAGAGGTTTGAAGTAATATTTGAAATTTTCAAATTGGAAGGCTGGGAGGAAGATACTTCTATTCTTGCTTATAAAATTTTAAAGTTAATTCACATGAGTGAATATCAAAGAATAAAGCAGCAACAAAACAACTCCAAGAAACTCCGTTCTTTAAAAATGTAAGTCTTTGAAGTACTTTGCTATTTTAAGTCAAATAATAAATTGCAAGTCCAGAATAAACTGACTGATGAGATTGCTAAAGCATCTCCCTCTGGTCCAAAAGCCAATCAGAATTATTCCCGCTTCTGTTGGAACCAATGAAAATTCTCAATTGCTGTGTTCTTTAATGGTTATAAGACCTGTTTCAGCACTGAGAGAGGCAGTCTCTTGACCAACAAATTTAATAAATTATGTTTTGATTTAATTAGTTTCATTAACCTTCTTTAAAACATTTTATTTTTAAGTAATGGATGTGAGGGTGATCTGGCTGCAACATCTGTCACCCCATTGATCGCCAGGGTTGATTCGGCTGATCTGGCTGGCTAGGCGGGTGTCCCCTTCCTGCGTCTCTCCCGAAGCTGCGTGCTCTTTCGAAGAGGACGACCTTCCTGGATAGAGGACCGTTTTTGGTCAAGGGTATACGAGTAGCTACGCTCCCCTGCTAGAACCTCCAAACAAGCTTTCAAATAATCTCTATACCCAATGTGGGGCTCAAACTCACAACCCTGAGATCAAGAGTGGCATGTTCCACTGACTGAGCCAGACAGGTGTCCCTAGTTTAATTACCTTTAAGTTGTTTTTTTTTTTTTTTTTTTCTTGAAGTAATCTTGACTCTCTCAGGCAAACTCAGTCATGCATTTCTCTAGATTGGCTATAGCCAACCTACATATTTTAAATGCTTCTGTTAAAGTTACTACATAGTAACCACAGTATCATTGTAATAGTATGATTATATATTATGTCTTTGAGCCTCCATTCAACATAAAAATAATATTAGCATGCATATAAATATAAGCCTATGTCTAACACATTTCTAGACACATATAATAAAGTAGTATTTGTTGAAACATGCATGTACTTATATATGGATGCATTGCAAGGAAAGCAAAGAGACCTGATAACTTTGGAGTGGCATCTCCAATGTAGGAGAAATATGAAAGAAGTAAAACCAAAGAAGAAGAAAAGTCAGTATTGTCACCTAAGTGGAGGAATGAGACAAGAGTATTATGTCATCAAAGATGAAGCAAGTGTCAGGGACCGTGTGGCCAGTCATGGCTGTAAGTCTAAAGATAAATAAACGAGGACCATCTGATTTGGGAAACTATTGGTGGTAATTTTGAGGGAGTGTTTCTTGTAGAGTCATTTGGGAAAAGTGGAAATACAACTGATAGATGAGTAGAGTTAGTCTAGGACAGTAATTTGTGTGTGTGTGTGTGTGTGTGTGTGTGTGTGTGTGTTAGAGAAGAAAGGGAGATTTAAAAAAAGAGTGTAAATGGACTATTTTATTAAAAGATATTGAAAGGGCTTTTTTTTTTTTTTTTATAAATGGGAAAACTAGTAAAGAGGCTAGGAGTACCCAGTTTAATTCAGGAAAACAATTTCTTAAGCAAGAAGCAGAAGCAGAAAACGGCAGGAAGAGGCAATCTTTTTTGTGGTAGATGTGACCATGTGAGTAACTTTTGGCTAATGAGGGAAAAAGATCAGAAGTAGGACTTCAAGGATGTCTCCTTGAAAAGATAGGCCCATAATCATCTCCTCCCTCTTTCCTGTTGATAAACTGAGCTTCTGTCACAAAGGACAAAAGCGAATATTATAATAGGTTAGACAACAAACAGTATCTGCAAGATCGACACCTTTGCTGTTCACATTTCCACATACATCCCTTTTCTGATAAACAGAACTGACTTACAATATCAGTTGAATGAAGAGAATGATTTCCCCAAACATCCCTCACACCAAACTTGGGACAAATGAGTGTCAATGTAATCCGCCCCCATCAGGTATGGATGTGGGATATTGTACATCCTAAGATCAACTATCAACTAAAAGTTCAGTTATGTATCCTCATATACCCAATAGATTAAATCAGAAAAGGAAAATGATAATTAGAATTTTTAAAAAAAAACCCACTTTTGTTTGGAAACAAAGAATTGGAAAATCATAGTGGTCAGAGCTTTTAGCAGTAATAAGACCCTGCCAGCAGGAATGTGGCAACAGAATGAGGTGCTCAGCTTGTCCAGCAGTCTCTGGTTAAGCTCTCCAAGAAGGACTGACTTTTGTCTTTTGTTGCTGGCTTTGTCTTCATGGAAGCTATTCCCTGACTACCTTTCTCTGTGTTGACATCTGAGGTAGACTTTGGGAATTCTATGCTTCCTGGGCATAGTGCTTTGAGCAGAGTGGGGACTGCTTTGTGAGTTGTACAAACTGCATAGAAGTTCCTTTGTTAGTATAGTTACCTCACTACCTCAAAAGCAAAAGAGTGTCTCTTTATTACCTTCAATCCATTCCATGGGGAAGTTACCACACCCAAAGACCTGAACCTTGAATAATCTTGTTTTTTAAATGTTGTCTCTGTGCCCTGCTCCCTTTCCCTCTCTTCAAATGAGTGACAGCTCTCATAAAGCCTTGGAGGGAACATGGCACATTTCATCTGATTTAGTCAGACTGCTAGCTCCTATTGTCTTTCTGCAAACATTTGACAGAAAGCAAGCACAAGCCCAAAAGCAAAATAAAACTGTGCCTCCAGCCTTGATTTCTACTTAAGTGTAGTTCTGCAGCCACTTTTCATTACTGCTTCAGCACTTTACAGTATAGCTGCAATTGGTTTTTAAGGCATAGAATGGTCCAAATCATGTAACTTCTGGGCAACTTGGGCTGCAGTCCTCAGGATGTTTCTAGCCATGTACTTTTTCCATCTCTGCTTAAGAGAAAGCACTTCTAACTTTTTTTGAAACATCCCTTTCTTTGGTATCTTTCTAAAAGCCTCAGGAAACAGCCTAAACATGCCAGTATTATTAATTTTCCATCTATTTCCCTGACTGCCTAAGCACACTGTCTGCCTTCCAGCTTACAGCAGGAAACAATCTGACAATTTTTCCACCCCATGCTGTGCATCAGACATTTTCTACCCATAGTATGTGAACCCTTGCCATCCACCTCCTGCTTACCTTCACCAAGCCAAAGCATTCGTTTTTGTTTTGTTCTTCCATTAATTCATTGGAAATATATCCACTCTTTTAGGTTGCAACTTAAGTGTACATACAGATTATCTGGGGAACCTGTTAAAATTCAAGTTCTGAATCAGAAGTTCTGGTGTGAGACCCAAAACCTATTATTTCTAACAAAATCCAGGTGATAATCGGTACTGCTATTATAAGATCACACTTTTGATTAGCAAGATTAGTGTGCCACACTACTTATATCTAATTACTTTATCAGTATCTCAGTTTAAGATAGCTAAATTTACTCTGGCCAGTTCAAGTAAAAGAGAATGCAAAGTCAGAGCATTCTCCCAGGATCATCTGGAGGACGGTTTCCGCAGATAATCATCTGTGTCTTCAAGAACAAATTCCAAACCTCCATAGCGCTTGGTCATAGAGGGAATTGCTGTCTTTGTAGAAAGATCAGGCAGACTATTGCATTTGGCACCACAAATACTGCTTCCAGCCCTTGTTTGTGCCTCTTCACAAATCAAGAAGCTGCTACCTGAGGTCCTGGCTCCTAAACATCACTTCTGCCATAATCTGTAACAGTAAAATGGGTTTTCCACTCACTGTGCCTCTTAGTGCATGACTAATAATGAATGTCAGTTTTTTGAGTGCATCTGATCGGCAAAACTTAAGTAGGTTGTCCTTCTAGACTAAACAGCCACAGCCCTGATTGCAAAAACAAACAAACAGGATGAAATATAATTTTTACCTTTCTTCTTTCCTCCCACTAGGAGATTGGCATGAAAGTGTGATAGACAGTTCATAATAGTAATCCCTCACAGGCAAGTTTTTCAAGGAATAGATAATATTGTATAGTTGCTTAAATGGTTAATTTAAGAAAAAAATGAGAAAAAGTAAAACGGATTGATATGCAATAATCCATAAATTAATATAAAAAGATAAGCAATTTTACAAGTCAAACTGAGAAATCTATATTTACAAATCAAAAAAATGGAAAAAGCAATCGATTATTTTAATCAAAGAGGTTATTCAAGGCAAAAGTAGTAAATAGATTTATTATCTAAATACAACAGCTTAAAGGATTTTTCCCCTATGACAACATATTGCCAGTTAAGTTTTCAAAACTAAAACATTACCAATTCAATCTCTAGAGTTACAGTTTGTATAAGCTTGGGTTAAATAAATGATCTAGATTCAAATCTTGAGAGCTCTGAAAATATTAAACATTTGTTTTACATACCAGATACTTACAACCAAAATTTGCATGTCTTCACCCAGAGAAGAGGGGCTATGAAAAGCCAATAGTTGCTTTATGATAGTTATTCACGAGCATATGCCATGAGGTTTGGTGCCAAAAAGATTATACATGTAGAACAGAAATGTAACCTAAAATTCAACATTTTGAAGTGTTTTCTTCTAATTTTTTTTTTCTGCTTTTGGTTTACGATTTTACACATATACATTGCTTAATTTGATAAAGAGGATGACACTGTAACTGACAGTAAAACACAACAGTTAATTTTTATGATTTGCTACTAATTAACATATTTATCAAATGATACAGTTGGTGAAAATTTGGACAGCAGTTTTGAGATTTAAACATTTTATAAATTCCCTTTATGTCAGAGTCATATTTTATTTTTATAGAACCAGCTGCATACTGTTTAGTACCTAAGCTGAATACTTCAACTGTTAGGTTTCTGCATGCTTTACTGATTGGAATGAATATATTAGTAGTTGAATTTGCATATACACTGATTGCTCTGATTATTGTGCAAGTGTAAATGTTGTTAAGTACAAAAAAAATTTAAGTAGTTACTTCTATTAAGGGAATTTAAAGCCTATGACATAAAATTGACCAGACATGAAGAACTGGTGAGATTCCTTATTACTGTTCTCTTACTTTGTTATTAATAGGAAAGATTATTCTTTAAAGCCTTTGAGTAGCATTATTGGTCACTTTAAAATGAAACTGTTGTTTTGATTATCTGGTGTTTTTATTTTATTATGAGTGCCTGATTGTTTCAAAGAAAAGAAAGAAAAAACCTCATTAGCAATACATCTTTTGTGATAGTGATATAATGGACATATAAGGTCTATTATTTTACTTTTTTTTTGTTAATGTTTATTTATTTTTGAGAGATAGAGAGAGAGACAGACAGAGTGCAAGCAGGGGAGGAACAGAGAAAGGGAGACAAAGAATCTGAAGCAGGCTTCAGGCTCTGAGCTGTCAGCACAGAGCCCTATGTGGGGCTTGAACTCACAAATGGTGAGATCATGACCTAAGTCAGATGCTCACCCGAGTGAATCACCCAGGTGCCCCAATTTTATCTTTTTTATATAATATAGTTTAACTGAGATGTTTACTAATATAATTTCTATAAACGTATTACATGGAAGGATTGAAATAATATTTAGTTTGTACTATATACCAAATGACCAAAAATATGTTTTGTTTTAATTCTTTCAGCAGCTACCATCATTCATTTCACAGATATAAGACTCTCAGAGATGTTTATATAAAGTCCCTGAAGATTACATACCAACTAAGTAGTAGATCTTGAACTATAATCTGGAACAGTCCAAAATAAAATCCTCTGTTTTTGAGTGTATTATTTATGCCCTAGATTAAAAGAGAGTCTTAGAGTCAAATCTCTATTACTTACTAGGTATATGTTACTGAACAAATCACTTACTATGTGTCTACCTCTGAAATTAAGATAATATTTACCATTCACACCTCACTTAATTTCTTAAGGGGAGTGAAATAGACCAAGGTGATACTTTTTGAAAATCATAAAGCACTCTTATTTTAAGGTATCTTGAATATGTTAACTAGTCAATTAATTTATGTCATAATATAAAAACATGTTTTTAGTGAGGAAATATCTACTAAGAATGAAGAGTACAAGACCTTACCATGTTCTCCAATCTCAATGAATAATTTAAGGACAGGGAAGCAATGATTCACCTGCAGAAAGATGCTCCCATGTTTACCATGATTCTTGGCATTGTTGCCTTCTCATATTCTGTTTCCTTAATTTGAAAGATCTTTTCTGCCTTATGCCTGGCAAACTCCAATAATTCTTTCTGTTTGTGTCCCCTTATGCCCTGAAAAGACTTTTCTGATCAATTCTAAGTCTGTATTACATCCCTATTGATGAAGTGCTTTGGGCATATACTATCATGGCATTTATAAAACTTTCACATGATTGTTATTCTCTCTGTCTGTAAATCTTGCCAGTTAGAGCATCTCTGGTACATTGTAAATGCCAAAAGATATTACTTGAATTAGTGGAAATGTTACTATCTCTACTATAATATGGCTATAATTAGGTTGTGTTTGTTATTGTTTAACTTTATGATACATTTTCTTGTGGCAAAAAACATATAACCTGAAATCTATACTCCTAATATAATTTTTTAGTGTTCAGTATAGTACTGTTAACTATAAGCACAATCTTGTATAGCATATCTCTAGAACTTTGTAGTTATATGTAAATGAATTTTTATACCTTAAAAAGGTTTTGTGAAGAAAATAATTTGAGAGTAAAAAAATGGAACATAATATTGGATAAATCAAATTTTTAAAAATATTTTTCTTTGGAAAAATATTTACGATAGTATTGTGCAATATTACAATTGAATATGTATCATAAATCATTATATATGCATTCATATATATGTGTATATATATATACATGCATACATGTGTATGAATTTTCAATTTAATTTTGATTGGCCAGATACATTATATGATTTTTAAGAATCATAGAAATATATCTTGGGAGTAATAAAATAGAAAAATATTACAAAGATACTTAAATACACTAACTTACTGTATAATTATAATTTTATTTTTGTTTGACAAAGTAATTTTATTTTAAAATTACAAAATAATTTTATTATACAAAGTAATTTAAAAAGTGATATCACAAATTTGGCACTTAAAATTCTCTTTAAATTTTAAATATTAATTAAAGTTAAAATGTGAGTCAATGGGAGTGGGAAATGATAAAATCCAGAGTTAAACATTTAACTTTTGTCAATAAAGACTAAGGCATGATTAATAAATTGTACTACGTTTAGAGCTAAATAATTAAATCAGACAACCTAATCAGAAAATCAAGCTGCACAAGCTATAGTGCAGTTTAAAAGTCAGCAATTGTAACTTCAAAGTGTTTAGCTGTATCAGTGGAATCGGTGGTTGAATCATCAAATATGCAGTGCAATTAGTTGAATATGAAAATCCCACAGTGTTACAATATGGAAATGAATCAGCAAAGCTTCCTGGTGATTGCTAAATACCTGACTACTTCCTCAGTAACTATAGTTCTTGAATAATTCCCTAAATAAATATGGAAATGAAGTTTAATGAAATGAAATAGTGAACATGAGGTAGTCTTTGATAAGTTTGGTAAAATTTGATATAACTTGAAAGTAACTGACTAATTTTCATTTCTTTTATGTATGTCCGTGGATCTGGAGGAAATACAAGTCTTTACTGCACATTATTTGTGTTCTCTTAGGCATCTTTTTTGGTCATTACGTGTTTCTCACCACATTTTGCTCAAAAAGTGAAATTTCCTTCATTGAGAAGAATTGACCCATAGAAATACAGTATTTGCATTCCTCAACAGTTTGATTAACTACTCGAAGTGTTATTTATAATACCCTCCCCTACCAAAAAAAAAAAAAAAAGTTATACACTTTTTAAGATCTTTGTAAATGAAGGATTTACCATTTGACATGTTTTGGAGATTCAAAAAAGAATTACTAAAGTTTGAAAATCTTAGGTATAGAAATTTTTATTAGTGTTTAAGTTGAGAAAAATATTGCATTATTTTTAAATTTTCAGAGAGGAAGAGTGGAGGAGCTGCATTTGTGGATATATGGAAATTCAAAAGCTATATAGTATGAATGATGTTTTATTTTACTTCAAAATTTATGTTTGAAAGCTTAAATTCGGCACTTGAAGAAAAATTTCCCAATATACTTAACAGGATTATTTAGCTACCTGGTGTCATTGTTCTTTAAAATGACACTCATGTCCTGGAAAAAAAAATTATAAAAATCAGCTTCATTTGACCTAAGTTCTAGATAACCATGCATAGTTTGTTTGTTTTTTTAAGAAACTTAACATTTTGAAATAATTAAGCACTTGTTGTTATTGCCACAAATTGTAATTAAACAGTACATATATAGAGTGGAAATTTGGAATGAGAATTTTCAGTCTTCCTTTAGAAGACTGTGGGCACCATTAGACTGTGGGCAACAGATTCAAATGCTTATGGGATCCAGGCAGGTCATAAAAGAGAGTGGAATTGTAAGACACGGTGGGAACTGATGAACTCTCTGAAAAATTATAATTAGTTCTGCCCAAAAGAGGCAAATGACCCTACTCGAGATGAATGTCGCCATTCAGTGTAACAGAAGAAGCAGTTCCATTACTGCCAATTAAAAAAAAATAATGTTTATTCATTTTTGAGAGATGAAGAGAGACAGAGCATGAGTGGGGGAAGGACAGAGAGAGAGGGAGACACAGAATCCGAAGCAGGCTCCAGGCTCTTAGCTATCAGCACAGAGCCCGATGTGAGTCTCAAACCCATGGACCCTGACATCATGACCTGAGCTGAAGTTGGATGCTTTAAGATTGAGCCACCCTGGCATCCCCCATTGCTGCCATTTTTAAAGAAACACCAGAAAATCTTATTTTCTATTTTGAATTCAGTAAGTATTGCCTACTTGTTTGTTTTTTTTTTTCTTTTAAAGAAATATGTATACAGTCTAGGTACATCTGTTTTGTATAAGTTTACAATCTTTTTTATAAATGGAATTTTATTACAGATGTCATCTTCTCTCAACACAGTTACAGGAATTAGGTGTTGATTATTTCATGAGGCAGTTTTCTTAATTAGTAGTCAACTTTGTTAGAAGCTTTTTTCTTACCAAGGACTAAGAGTTTTAAAGTAGAAAGGTCAAAAGATGATTCAATTAATCCTATCCTTTAAATGGAACAACTGAGGACTCAAATGTGCAAATCATTCACACAGTCATATAATGGTTTAATAAGAGATCCAGAAAAGAAAACAAGTAAAACACTCATCATGTGAGAAATTTCATGGTGGATGCCCTCATATTTGTTAAATATTAAATATTTAAAAATTAAAAATTAAATATTATTTAATCTTCCAACAATTCTTGTGATACAGAGACTCTTAGCCACATTTTACAAATGAATAATTTGAATTATATATATATATTATATTCATATTATATATGAATTATATATATATTATAACTGTCCATTACTACACGGTCACTAAGTAGTGGACTAATGATCCGAACCACATTTCCTAGTTCCCAGGCTAACTCTCCATATTATGCTGTCAATTGTATTTAAAAACAAAATGCCCTGGGGCACCTGCGACTGACTCTTAATTTTGGCCATGGTCATGATCTCATGGTTTGTGATTTTAAGCCCCACATCAGGCTCTCCTCTGATGGTGCAGGGCTTGCTTGGGATTCTGTCTCCCTCTCTCTCTGCCCATCTCCCACTCTCTCTCTTTCTCTGTCTCTCAAAATAAAGAAATAAACATTAAAAAAAATGAAATACCCTAAGGATTTTTTCCTATGAGGAATTTAAAAAAATCTCTTTGAAAAAGTTTAAGATTAGGGGTCATCATACTATTTCTCCTTCACTACTAATCTTGATTATAATTTATAGTAGACACAGCTGATTTGATGTAAATTGTGGAGGGCTTTTATGTATTTCAATCATTAGAGACATAGACAAAAGGCTACAGCACCGATGGTTGGTGAAACCTGAAGACATACTACTGCTATTTCCTGCTGGGCACAGAGGAGCAAGCAAGATAGTCATTTAAACCTACTTTCTCCAAAATACATGTCAGCAGTTATTGCCGCCAAATGTCATTCTAGTCACTACAGTACATCCTAGCCGGGATGCACACTAAAGAGCCTCAGCAGACAACAGACATCCAGTGGGAACACGTCTTGTGGGGTGGAGTCATCCATGTTCCCTGCATTCAGGAACTGCACATTGATATGACAGAAGACACCCAGAGTGAACTGTTTTTTAACACAATATTTAAGGTTTCAACCTTCAGGCTAAATACACTTTACAAACCTTCAGTGTTAATATGTATTCTTAGTAATGGTGCCTATCATCCATTAAATTAAGCAGATGCCAGGTGGAACCAAAATAAATATAATAGAACCAGCATTAAAAATGTATTTATCGAACTCAGATTTATGACATACTTAGAAGAAGAGTTAAGAATAGAATAAATATGCTAGTGGTGTCCACTGTGCTAAAATTAACTTTAGCCCATTTCAATAAATAAATTTATGAAAAACTTATCTAAATTTGGCTAGCCTTCTTGATCACACCTTATTTTTATTTACTTCCTTAACATAACAGTTTGCAATGTTATTTATTTCAATACATGTAAATAGTTTATCTTTAATATTAGAATCCAAATGAGATGAAGGCAGGGGCGCCTGGGTGGCTCAGTGGGTTGGGCGTCCGACTTCAGCTCAGGCCATGATCTCACGGTTAGTGGGTTTGAGCCCCGCTTCGGGCTCTGTGCTGACAGCTAGCTCAGAGCCTGGAGCCTGCTTCGGATTCTTTGTCTCCCTTTCTCTCTGACCTTTCCCTGCTCATGCTTCCTCTCTCTCTCTCTCTCTCAGAAATAAATAAAAAATATTAAAAGAAAACAAAACCAAAAACAAATGAGATGAAGGCAGAGGCCTTGTCTGATTTGTTGATCATAAAGCTTGGAAACAAAGTTTAATAAAAAATGATGAATTCATTAATGATGAAAAATAAAACTTGGAAGTTGCAAGAAGATAAAGGGATGTTAAGTAATCATTTGTCTCTCAGAGGAGAGTTTAGATAGTAATGAATATATCAAAACCGATAAAAAATTAAAGTTATCCACTAGGGAAAATAAAATAATATTTGGAATTTTCCAATACAGTAAGACCTTGGATTGTGAGTAACTTGTTCTGCAAGTGTTCCCAAACACAAGCAAACACTTCTAATAAATTTTAGTTGATAAATGAGTGATGTCTTGCAATACTCATAGTAAATGATACCAAATATCACGAGACCAAAACTGAGCCAATAGTTTTTGAAATTTGCTTTGGAAATCCAAGTGCTTGGTATTACAAACGTGTTTCCAGAATGAATTATGTTAAAAACCAAGGTTTTACTGTAGATGAAGGAAAAAACAAACAAAGAAACAATTCAGGAAAGTAAAAAGGCAAAGGAAAAGCAGGAAACTTGTTATAAAATTAATTTATTTAAACCCTAAATTGCTTGGGGTATTAATAAAGAACACAGAGAAAATACTCCATTGAGCAAGAATAACTGGGGAATCAAGACAAGCTATAGTAATAATAAATAGACAATGGGTTAAATGTCAGACACCTAATCTCTCATATATTATGAATCTTAAAAAGTACCTAGTGTACAAGTAAGATAAATCACTTTTGTCTAAGTGAGAGGAAAATTTAGAATTTCTCTTTAAGAACAGCAAATATATGTTTGCATATTCTAGATTTTAACCTCTCTTTTTGTAAGTCTTAAATGGCTATATACACAACCAACTATTTTAACATCTGCCTTCTTAAAATTCTAGGGTGAATTCTAATTAGATCATGGTACTTCACTGTAAAAACTCTTTACCTGGTGTAATATACTCTTCTCCAATGTTCTCTAGCTTAGTTTTTTCCATCTTTGTTCTAAGATAATCTTAGGAAAAATTTAAGCAAAAATAAAAACAATTTGAATCGTCAGGCTCCCATCCTAGTTTATTTATTTTTTCTATCTTTCACAGTGCTCTAAATATAGTTTTATTTATTTATTTTTTTTAATGTTTTATTTTATTTATTTCTAGGAGAGAGAGGGAGACAGCGTGAACAGGGGAGGGTCAGAGAGAGAGGGAGTCACAGACTGAAACAGGCCCCAGGCTCTGAGCTGGCAGTCAGCACAGAGCCCGACGCGGGGCTCGAACCCACGAACCGTGAGATCGTGACCTGAGCGAAAGTCAGACGCTTAACCGACTAAGCCACCCAGGCGCCCCTAAATATAGTTTTATATCCAAACCATTCAAATTTCTCAGCAATGTTTCTGTGCCTGAACACATTGGTCTTCATTATCTCCCTCCCAGAGCTTCTCCATCTAATCAATATCTATTCATCCTTTTGTAGAAGTAAAACCTTCTTTACCTAAGAGCTCCTTGGCTTGAGGCAGGAAACCAGCTATAAGCTCTTGTTATATTCAGTTCTTAAGAAGTCTGGCACAAAGTCCTTTAGATAAATTCATATTTATTTTCTCCATTGTAAATCCATGCTTAAAAGAAAAAAAATGAAGCAATAAAATATTCTATGTAGTAGCACTTTTATTGATTCATGCATTATGCACAGATTTTTATATACAGAAAATGAACATCTAATAGATTATTGTTGGCTATGGTGGCATGAAAATGCACCTCTCAGACCTCCAGCTGCAGGAACTGTAACTGCAGCTATCGCATTCTGAAATTCATTGCCAAGTTTATACCAGGGCAGTGCTTCTCATGGGCTGCTTCCAGCCAAGCCTTCATACAGCAGTGATACTAAATGAGGCCCATTCCTAGGAGATGATTAATCCCCCAGAAGGACAACAGTGCTCAAGGAAGCCCCATTATCCTTGCCAAAGTTTTAGAACGGCAACACAGTCTAGGATTCTCCCACTTAACCATTCTTTCCTCTCTCCTTCAAAAGGTCAGACCTCCATCATGCACTTGACTCTTCTCCCAGCTATATTGGTGTTCTCCATTTTGCCTCACAATCCTTTTCATAAATCTCTTGAATGTATAATCCCACTTGGCATTCACTCTTTAGGAGCTTGGACTCTAACACTGGACTTAACCCCTTTGTATTGTCAGCAATAATGGCTGTATTAGACAGCAAGTAAATAAAATGTAGAAATTGTGTATAATTTTTCTCATGTGAAAAATGCTTTGCAGATTTCTTCTTAAACATGGTAGATGTATGGGTGTATTTCTGCTCTCTACTGAAATTGTTCTATGATGGTGGCGAATAGAATTAAAGATAGTCATACACAAGCTCTGGGTGAATAACAAGGTAAAAATAGATGAAATATGTCAGTTAAACTTGGGTGAATAGAAGGCAAGTGGGGGAATGGTATATTAATTAACAGAGTGAAGAAAGCATCACAAGTGAAGCCAATGAAAAAGTAGTCTCTAATTTACATTTGCATATGTGACATGGAGTTATTAATATTAAGTATCAACTTCTTTATATTATTTTAAGGAGGAATTGAGCTAATGCATGTCAGTCACTTAGAAGTTAAAGAATTTAGCTCACAGTAAATAATAAATATTAACTGCCATTAAACTATTATCATTCTATCAAATTTAAAAAAATATTTAGTTTCTGTGCTAGAGTAACTGCCACCTAAATAAAATACATAAAGTTTCATAAGATGATGTGGGAAGCACTAGGGAATAGGGGTGCATAAATTCTTAGAAGACAAGGGACCGCATAAGGCAATGATTTAAAACTTGGTACTTCTGCAAATTTTATGTATATCTATATTTGAATTATGTAACAACTATTGAATCATAAAAATTGACTATAAGTCAGAATGATATTTAATTTTCTTTACAAATGAGATATTTTCAGTAATTAAAAAAAAAAAGAAAAAAAAAACCCTGAAAGTTACTACTTCTTTCAAAGATGCTTGTGTGCAGTGAGGAAGGCAACATCTGCAACTCAGTGTGAGAGAGGTTGCAGCCCATGAAAGCATGTTGGGAAAATGTCAAATTTTTCTCGTCAACACAGAATTCCATTTTCAGGTCTAGGAAATCTTTTCTCCTCTCTACATAATTTACTCCAAACTTCTTCCAAAACGGTTACTCTTATTACCCTAAAATTACCTTTACTTCACCATTGCCTCTGCTGATTATATTACCAGTGATTCCTTATAGAAGCCTCTCATCTGCTAGATTTGAAGGACAAGATAAGGGGAACAGTGCTTCATAACTGCTTGACAAAGTCAAGGAGAGGTCATAGGCTACGTTTGGAGATATGTTGACTGGCGGGGGTGAGGGCGGTAGGCTAAGGGCGGTGCTGCAGCAGTAATGCCCATTATCAAGACCATGCTTCAGTTCTCATGCAGGCGCAAGTGAGCTGGCAAGTGTGAAATGGAAAGATCCTTTCTAAAGTTTATGATTGGTTACTTTACTTGACAACTAACCACTTCTAAAACCATTTAAAGTAATAAAATAAAAACTCATAAATTTTCTGAATTGGAAGAAACAAAAACAAGAACTGTTATTAGTAATATATGATCTGTACCCAATTATTTGAAAGCAATGAATATATCTGACTTCTCAAGGTAAAAATGTTTATTCCCCAATTGTGAAAACCAAATGGCTACATATATATAATCCCTACCAACACCCAAACTGTATTGTTTTATTATCCCCGAATACCTTATCTAATCTAACCTATTATTTGTGTATAACCTCTTTGGACTTGTGGATTGGTGGCTCGGCCAGAAGTCTCTGCAGAGCTTCTTTATAAAGCTCTCCTTCTCTCCTTTCACCTGTGATCAGGCACAGACTCCTACTGTTCCTGCTTTCATCGGCCTCAGTTCATCCTCTTCTCCACTGTTTGGCTCCTCATGAGTCCTAGAATGCATCAATAAAATAGCCGTGCAAGCGTTTCCTTGTGAGGCCGTAGGTCATAGTAAGAGATCTGAGAGCTAATAAGCTGTAAAGATTTTGAAAAACTACCTATCTCTCTGGGAGACTAGCGACACATATGTGATATCCAGTACAGATGTTGGCACATATCTGATGTTCAGTATGTTTAAGTGAACAAATTAACAAGCTTAAAATTGGCCTCCCTCGATTTGGCTTCCATTCTCTACAATGTAATCTGTGTTGCTGCTCAAATAGTTTCTAAAACACAAGTCTGACTATGTCTCTTCCATGCTTGAAAGCATTCATAACCTCCCTCCTGCCTTATTGACCATCTACGGCACTGTTTCTCAAACAATGGTATGTCTTAAAATATCTTGCAAGGCCTGGTAAAAATTCAGAATCCTAGGTTTTAATCAGACCTGCTAAATCAGATTTTTTGGGTTGTGGGATCCAGGATATGCATTTAAAAAATCCTCCAAGGTTATGTTTGCATGCAGAATTTTGAGAACCATGGACTCTCAGGAAAAAATTAAGCTTGTTGATGTGTTATGTGAGGAATGTCATTGTTTGGCCCTTAAATTTCTCACGTCCTGTATTACTGACCTGCTTTATTGACTTTCCACCAATAGCACTCTACAGTTTTTATTTTCTCCAAGCAAATGACACTTTCTTCTTTTAAATTTTTCTTCCACCCAGACTATCTATTCCCTCTTATACTCTTAAAAACTCAAATTTTATATTTTATAATCCCCTATTAGGTATAATCTCTTTCAGAGAGCTCATCTACTGTCCCATAAACCCTGATAGCATTGATCAGTCCCACTTATGATACCCTTGTATGCTATTACAGCTGCCTGCATCTCTCACAGGGTCTTAGAATTTGTTTATATATCCCTTTCTGGACTTTGAATGCCTTAGGTCTACTGCCTATGTTGTATTCTTTTCTTTAACATAAATCCTTACTAGAACCACAGTGGGTTAGTGCATTTTTCATAGATATTTTGTAGATGACTACATGCAAACAATGTGTATTTGGTTATTCATGCAGTGTGTTTCTTTCTTTTCTTTTTCTGTCAAAATTATCTGGCAAACAAATCTGTTCATGGAGAACTCTTCTAAAATGCTTCTTAAGCGACATCTCATTAGAAACATAGAATATACTGAAGAAGATACTGAGTCTTATGCACTAATTCACTACTGCTAACAAATTAAAGATTAAATTAGAAATAATTAACATAGAGAAGCAAATCAAGCTGTGCTAGTCACGTATTTTGTATTTGTTAAGAGGAAAGCTGCTTAAACTGGTTCTAAGATTTAATTTTTAATATGTTCCTTATTAAAAAAACAGTTTAAGGTTAATAAGGGAAAGTAATGTGTTTGTTTATTCATTTATTCTCTTAAACTCTTGTACAAAGTACTTCTAACTTCTCTTTACAGAAAAAATAAGCCAAATGTCTCAGCAGTTTAAGTACCAGATTAGCACCTGCTTTAAGAATTTAGGAGGCACTAATTGACCTGAAAACGGCCCAACATGAGCAGCAGGCATGGCGCTATGTTTGCTTCAAAATCTAAATCTTGTTGCCAGCGTTTACCTAATGTAAATATAAGAAAAGCAAATTGAACAGTACCATTGCTTGTGTACTAAAGCCACCTCTCTTTGAGCCAAATTCTCCCTTGGAGCACACCGTTCCTTGGAACATACATAAGCATCCAGTGAGATGGATTAACACTTTGAAGTCACCAGGGTATCATCAAGACTTTTTTGTTGATGATACTGTGTCTTTGGCATTGGGGAAAATCTGGCTCATCTTGTTAGTGGCAGAAAAAATGCAATTTAAGTGAGCTGCCAAGATAATTAGAGCAGGTGAACAGTAGACAGAAATAATGCCCTGAAGAGATGAAAGAAAATGCTTAGATTCTTTTTCACTTTATAACAGTTCTGCTAAATGCTATTGGTATCTGTTTGCTCCTGTATCTCTGTCAATCCTGGGTAGAAAATTAGGTATTTAGGGAGACATTAACTCTTCCAAGCCACTTGGAGACTATTTAGTGCACGTCTGAGCAGTGCTAATTGACAGAGTTGTAAATGAAAACATCACAAAAATGTGATATTTATCTATACTGATTTAAGAATGTTAGAAAATCACAGGAGAATGACTCATTGTCATCCTTTTTAAAAAGAAATAAAATTCCAGAATTCTGTCAGTATTTAATTATATGAGAACAATGAGTCAGTGGGTTGTTATATTTGGGGAATTTACACTAACTCTATGTTATAGGTTTTGTAGGCTAGAGTTTACTTTCCGAAAACTTAATAGCTCCCGAATCCATAAGAATAAAATTTAAAGGTATTTGGTTGGTTTTTCAAGAGAATTTTACTACAGCCCATTTGATCAGTATTATTTCAAATACTCCTTCTGTGTAAAATGACCCAAGTGCTTCACAAAGTTTATCGAATCCTCCCTGAATACAGTGTATGGATTTATGCTATTGTATATTTTTGTGTCTATTGCTTTAACTAGAAAGTTCATTTCCTGGGGCGCCTGGGTGGCTTAGTCGGTTAAGCGTCCGACTTTCGCTTAGGTCATGATCTCGCGGTTCGTGGGTTCGAGCCCCGCGTCGGGCTCTATGCTGACTGCCAGCTCAGAGCCTGCAGCCTGATTCGAAGTCTGTGTCTCCCTCTCTCTCTGACCCTCCCCTGCTCACGCTCTCTCTCTGTCTCCTAGAAATAAATAAAAATATTAAAAAAAAAAAGAAAGTTCATTTCTTATTTCCTAATTAAGATTGAGCTTCATACTATCTCTCCTGTTTTGCTTATGGTGACCAGACTAAAAAGTCATTTGAACAATGAAGCATAGGAAAATTTTCAGGTCAGTGAAACTATTCTGTAAAGTATAGTAATAGTATATAAATAATGCTATGCATTTGTCAAAACCCATAAAACTTTACAGCAAAAAAGAGTAAACGTTAATACTGGAAAATTAAAAGAAAAACTCGTTAAGGAGCAGGAGGATTCTCTTCCAGAATGTGACAAAAAATTAAATCTATTATAATTGTATGAAATAACCACTCTGAAAGAGTCAAGGAAAGGTGCCTAAGTAACTTTGGGAATGAATAGAATGTGTAAGATTAAAGGTTCAATTAACTTTATACAAGCACCATATTCTGGTTGATAAAGTCGTTTGCATTGGCAGTATTGGTTAACAATTCTGGTATTACTATCCATATTTACTAAAATTGAACAGTTAAATAAATGGAAGACAGATTGTAGAAGCTAGATTTCTTACTGATAGAGTAGAAAGTTATAGATAATCAAGAGAAAAAGGCTAGATCCATGCAATAATGGACAAGGGTTGGATATATTAGTTTGAACCCATATTTAGCTCAATGTATGGATAATTAAATATTGAAATATATACACATTGATTAGTATACACTAATATATTCTGTCAGCTAAAAAGGACTAGAAGCAGTGATATCCCAGTCATAATGAACACATCTAGGGCCCAGATTTTGTTTACTAATATCATTCTCCAATAAAAGGAACTAAGACTCTTTGGTAAAATGGTGGACTGTAGGATAGGGGCAGGAAAATAAAAGAAGAGAATGCAATATTTTGAATTGACAGAAAGTAAAGAAGTGTTTAAAACAATACCAAACACACAAAGATGGTGATGTGTGAAAGAGTTTTGGAGCCAACTGATAGAACCTCCAATAGCCAGAATTGAAACAACTTGTTCACAGAATAAGTAAAAGTGTATTGGGTTATAACCCAAAGTGTAAAATGATTGATTTTAGTTGATGATATAATATGATCCCATACTGATATAAATCAATGATATAAAAATCAATACATGGTGGGGAAAAGACAAATCTAAGCCAGAAAAAATAGTTTTTAAATGGAGATTCCTTAATTTCAATGAAGGGACACATAACTTCCCATTCTTTAATTGTGGACTGCACATAGTGTCTTCCTTCATTAGGGTACAAATGCAAAATGGTGAAATAAAAAAGAATTTTAGAGTGGAGAACCTTGGAAAGCACCATATCAACAAAAGGATCAAAGTCAATATCAGCAGTCATCATACTAACAGTATGTACTCTAAGGAGGAAATGATGAAAATAATAATTTTATTGAGATTGTCCTCTCAAAAGCCCTTAACCATAGTCTAAACAAGACTTAAACATTACACAAATAAGAGAGAGATATCTTATAAAATACCTGATCAGTACTCTTCAAAGCTGTCAAAGTTTTAAAATAAGAAAAATATAAACTTTCACACTGTCACAACTAAAAGGAACCTAAAGAAATGACAACTGAATGCATGAGGTATCCTGGGTGAGATTCTGGTATCCTGGGTGAGATTCTGGGACAGTAAAAATCACATTAGAGAAAAATTAAGGAAAATGAAGTATTGTCTTACCTATTCAGATTACAGCAGAATACCATACACTGGGTGGCTTATAAAACAGCAGAAATTTATTTCTTACAATCTGGAGTCTATGCAGTCCAAGATCAAGGTCCAGAATATTCTGTGTCAGGAGAGAACCCCCTTCTGGTTCATTAACAGCCACCTTTTTTTCTGTGGCCTCCCATGGTGGAAGACAAGCTAGCTCTCTGGGATCTCTTTTTTTTTTTTTTTTTACAAATAGTTTATTGTCAAATTAGTTTCCACATAACACTCAGTGCTCATCCCCAAAGTGCCCTCCTCCATGCCCATCCCCCCCTTCCCCCCACATCCATCAGTCCTCAGTTTTTGTCAGCATTCAAGAGTCTCTCATGGTTTGCCTCTCTCCCTTTCCCCCACCATTTCCGCCCTTCTTCTCCCCCTTGTTCCTCCGTCAAGTTCCTCCTAATCCTCCTATACGTGCAAACATATGATATTTGTCCTTCTCTGCCTGACTTATTTCACTCAGCATAACACCCTCAAGGTCCATCCATGTTGCTACACATGGCCAGATTTCATTCTTTCTCATTGCCATGTAGTATTCCATAGTATAGATAAACCACATCTTCTTGATCCATTCATCTGTTGATGGACACTTAGGCTCTTTCCATGTTTAAGCTATTGTGGAGAGTGCTGCTATGAACATTGGGGTACATGTGCTCCTATGCCTCAGCATTTCTGTATCCCTTGGGTAAATTCCTAGCAGTGCTATTGCTGGGTCATAGGGGAGTTCTATTGTTAGTTTCCTTAAGAACCTCCACACTGTTTTCCAGAGGGGCTGTACCAGTTTACATTCCCACCAACAGTGTAGGAGGGTGCCCGTTTCTCCACATCCTCGCCAGCATCTAGAGTTCTCTGATTTGCTCATTTTAGCCACTCTGACTGGCGTGAGGTGGTATCTCAGTGTGGTTTTGATTTGTATTTCCCTGATGAGGAGAGATGCTGAGCATCGTTTCATGTGTCTGTTGGCCATCTGCATGTCCTCTTTGGAGAAGTGTCTGTTCATGTTTTCTGCCCATTTCTTCACTGGGTTGTTTGTTTTTCGGGCGTGGAGTTTGGTGAGTTCCTTATAGATTCTGGATATTAACCCTTTATCTGATATGTCATTTGCAACTATCTTTTCCCATTCCGTTGGTTGCCTATTAATTTTCTGGGTTGTTTCCTTGGCTGTGCAGAAGCTTTTAATCTTGATGAGGTCCCAACAGTTTATTTTTGCTCTTGATTCCCTTGCTTTTGGGGATGTGTCAAGTAAGAAGTTGCTGCGGTGGAGGTCAAGGAGGTTGTTTCCTGCTTTCTCCTCTAGGGTGTTGATAGTTTCCTGTCTCACGTTCAGGTCCTTTATCCATTTTGAGTTGATTTTTGTGCATGGTGTGAGAAAATGATCTAGTTTCATTCTTCTGCATGTTGCTGTCCAGTTCTCCCAACACCATCTGTTAAAAAGGCTGTCTTTTTTCCATTGGATATTCTTTCCTGCTTTGTCAAAGATCAGTTGGCTGTATACTTTTGGGTCCACTTCTGAGTTCTCAATTCTGTTCCATTGGTCTATGTGTCTGTTTTTGTGCCAATACCATACTGTCTTGAAGATGACAGCTTTGTAGTAGAGGCTGAAGTCTGGGATGGTGATACCTCCCGTTTTGGTTTTATTTTTCAGTATTACTTTGGCTATTCGGGGTCTTTTGTGGTTCCATACAAATTTTTGGATAGTTTGTTCTAGTTTTGAGAAGTATGCTGGTGCAATTTTGATTGGAATTGCATTGAATGTGTAGAGTGCTTTAGGTAGTAATGACATCTTAACTATATTTATTCTTCCTATCCATGAACATGGAATGTTTTTCCATTTCTTTGTGTCTTCTTCAATTTCCTTCATAAGTTTTCTATAGTTTTCATCCTACAGATCTCTTGTATCCTTGGTTAGGTTTTATCTGAGGTATTTTATGGTTTTTTGTGCAATGGTGAATGGGATCAGTTTCTTGCTTTCCCTTTCTGTTGCTTCATTGTTGGTGTATAAAAATGCAACCAATTTCTGTACAATGATTTTGTACCCTGCAACTTGGCTGAATTCTTGGATCAGTTCTAGTAGGCTTCTGGTGGAGTCTGTCGGGATCTCTTTTAAAAGGGCACTAATCCAGGACGCCTGGGTGGCTCTATCAGTTAAGCATCTGCCTTCAGCTAAGGTCATGATCTCACAATCAGTGAGTTCCATACCCACATCAGGTTCTGTGCTAAAGGCTCAGAGCCTGGAGTGTGCTTCAGACCCCATATTTCCCTCTCTGTATAATCCTCCCCTGCTCGCTCTCTGTCTCTCAAAAGTGAATAAATATTATTTTTTTCAAAAAGGGCACTATTCCCAATCATGAGAACCCCAGCTTTATGACTTAATCACTTTCCAAAGGCCCTGTCTCCTAATACCATCATATTGGAGTTAGGTTTCACCAATGAATTTTGGAGGAATGCAAACCTGTAGTCCCTAGGAAATATGTACTTTATATAATAAAATATATTAACACTTTCAATAACTGTAACAAACACAGCATAAGATGCTAATAATAGAGGAAACTGGATGTGAGGTCTTTGGGAATTCAGTGCACCGTGTACATTTTTTTAATAAATCTAAAACTTTTTAAAAAATAAAGTCTATTTAAAAAAAAAAATAAGTTGCCTAGGGGTGAACAGGCATCCCAGGCAGTTAAGCATCGGACTTCAGCTCAGGACATGATTTCATGGTTCGTGGGTTTGAGCCCCATTTCATGCTCCGTGATGACTGCTCGGAGCCTGGAGCCTGTTTCGGATTCTGTGTCTCCCATTCTTTTTGCCCCTCCCCTGTTTATACTCTGTCTCTCAAAACTAAACCTTTAAAAACAAACTTTTTAAAAAAAATAGTTGGCCAAAAGCAATTAGCAAGAAGGAATGCTGCAGACGCTATTTGGTTGAATCAGTTTGGTCAATAGAACAACTTAGAGTAAACATCTTACTTGAATATGAACCAGTGAATCACCATTATATTTGTCAGTAAGTATTATCATTTCTCCTATACAACCATATTATTTTCTAAACAGTTATTATCCTATTGATTTATTCATTCTTTAATTTAAAAATGACTGACAAATAATACTTTTGAAAGTTAATATTAATTTTTAAAATTCCAAATCCAGTTAAATATTTTATGTAAAACTAAAATTTCCACTTACTAGACACACACGTTTCACTATGCACATTCTATTCTGTTTCACAGTTTTGAATGGTATACACAAAATCTTTAACTGGTCCCATCATGTGATAGAATTAAAGTAGCTTAAGTTCTGTTGTTTTGATTTTATGAAAGCTGCACTTTCATAGGGTCTTTCAAATCTGCTATTTCAACTCAGGCGTGTGCAGTACACAGAGGCTGGAGATACCAAGTGAGACTGAGAAGAACTCAAATCATTCTTGTCTCTTATGAATTTGCTCTTAAAATGAGTCTCTGTAGATGAGTCTGTACCTGTCAGGGGACAAATTTATAACTGGAATTTCTCCAACTTAAACTCCATGTAGAAATCAATGTCTATTAAAGAAGTAATAAAAATACACTGTTATACATAATTTTATATGCATAATTAAAATCAATGTATCTACATATATTTTTTTAGCACTTAGGACAACAAATGTTTGTTTTCCCACTGACAGGAATATTTTATAATTTAAGTTATTTAGCATTGCTAGTGCATCATGGTTATAGAAAACAAACCATTTTTAATAGAAAAAAGACAACTGTTTAATCAGTTTTATTATTTACTATTTAATTAATTTTGTTAACTATATTTTTTGAAAACTTCTGTACAGATAGTACCTGCTTTTCTTGCGAGAACCTGGGGTACTTCATTCCCAACACCTGCCTCTTTATATACCACAGATATGAACATTGTTTTTTCCCATCCCTTTAAGAATTTTATTTTTGTTCTATTTTTAAATTACTAATTTATATTCTGTCAGTAAATACTGCTCTGCACAGTGATAGTAAATACTTAAAAAAATACTAAATTAAAAAAAAACTAAATAGTTTTAACAAAAGATATGTGATCATACCACAAAAATTTCTTTTACTCTATTGCAAATTATGTAATCAGTAACATCATTGTTAGACAGTTTCTTGTTACCAACAGCACAGAACAGGAATGACAAAAACTGAATTGGAAATTAAAATTAAATCATTATAAAAACATTGTAGATAAAGCAGTTTAGAAGATTCACTCTTCCCAAATAAAAGGTTGTAAAGTATCTTCATTTTTCATATGATTTATCAATTATCAGAAACATTTAACTTATTATATGTGTCCATTAACATTAATTATTATTTTAAACACATTTTTATTTTGACTAGCTTATATTCTATCAATTTGTATTTTGTTCAACCACTTTCAGTCAAATGCAGTTTTCATTTTTTTAAATGTTTTACAAAATAATGTTTTACATAGTGAGACTTATAGCTCTTAAGTATGTGTTCATTCTTTCACTCCTTAATAAGTCCTTAATGAATTTGTTATATAAGAGAGATTCTTATTTTAATTTCCTATTTCTTGGTATCTCTCCCAATGTTGTCACAACAACTGGGACTTTGAAACTCTGTAAATGAGCAGATTCATTGCTTTACATTAAAATTGCACTTTAGTATATTTAGTGATATGTTTTCTTCAGGTGAGAGAAATAATGTTTATGTTTACAATTTCTAGAAAATGATTTACACTACTAGGGAAGTTAATAGTGTTAAATATCTACGTTAAAAAAGAAGAATATTTCAAGTAAGTGGCTTAACTTTACACCTCAAGGGACAAGGAAGGAAGGAAGGAAGGAAGGAAGAAAAAGATAGAAAGAAAGAAAGAAAGAAAGAAAGAAAGAAAGAAAGAAAGAAAGAAAGAAAGAAAGAAAGAAAGAAAGAAAGAAAGAAACACCCTACATCTAAAATGAATAGAAAAAAGGAAATATTAAAGATTAGAGAAGAAATAATAAGAATATAAAATGGATAAGCAATAGAAAAATATCAGTGAAACCAAGGGTTACTTTTTTGAAAAGATATGCAAACTTGAAAGACTGTTAGTCAGACTAAGTGAAACCAGAGAGAAAACTCAAATAAAGAAAATTATAAATGAAAGAGGAGACATTACAACTGATAAACAGAAACAAAAATATTATTAAACTCTAC